TGCATCTAAAATAAATTTTTAGGTCTACAGATGTAGTACTCTTCGAACCATTTATCTTTCTCCTTTGGCATTTTTTCGTAAATGCAATAATAACGGAGTTATGACTTGAAACAATTGCGTGGACTACCCTGTATATATCCGTAGTAAAAAAAAATATTATAGTTAGCGTAAGTGTAACCTTCAATAACTTTCAACTATAGGTCATCGTATTCGTCTTGAAATACTCCATCAGAATATGTATATAAAACTATATCATTCTATTTAAAAAAAGTTAGAGTAATGCCTTCGAAAGGCATCGAATTAATTTCTTGACCTGATATGTATAATAAACCTTAACAAATAGATCTTCTATTGAATGAATACATAAAAAAAATTTTTTAAATATAGCTATGATTTTCACTCTACGATGTTGACGACGAAAAATTTCTTGGAAAACAATGGAAGAGAAAAAAGTACCGTCTCTGACAGATTCATGACACGATATTACGATATCTCTGTTGTACGTGGACCGATTTGATTGATTCTTGTTTTATTCGAAAGCTTATATGCGGTTTACATCAGAAAAATGCGTTTCAATTTAGAGAATATTGCAGGCGTATTGAGATATGAAAGAATTTTCAGGTTAGGTTGGAATGGACCATCTCTCCTGTAAAAGATACGTGGTAGCTCCAACGCCAGGTATACAGGGTGTCCCAAAACTCGGGGAGGAGCCGGAAATAGGTCGATGCTTCGATGCACGTCGAGTCACTTATTCGCGTGCAAGCGCGGCCACCAGCGCGTAGCCTACGCTACCACGGCCGCTCCAACGGTCTACGCGCGCTCTGATTGGTCGGGGGTTTCGCTTAATATCTCCTTAACGAAGCCCCATCCGACATTTTTGCAAAGGAAATTGTTGTTCAGAATCGTCTCAGCTACCCCCCATTTCCGGCTCCTCCCAGAGTTTTGGGACACCCTGTATATACGCGGTGACGGATAATTTTTCATGAACTTGGCGCCGAGACGCTACCGCGTCTCTAGATATCATGGTGGAAAACAATACTTTTTCTGATTATAATACTTCCAAACCATCCTTACCTCCATAATATGTTTATGAAGCAGGGTTATTAAACAAACCGTTAATGAAAGATAAAATTACGTATTGTTTAAGGAAAACGAAAAATTAATGCTTGAAATAGTATAATTAGGCATAATACTAAATATTATGATTAAAATGTAAAAGGAATCTTAACTGTTTAACGATGTATGATAAATTACAATAGATACACATAAATATTCATTCATTCATTAGATTTCCGCGGCTTGGAAGTCAAATGCTTGGCGTGGCCAGGCAAGGTCAAGGTGTCGATGAATAAGAATTATTTTAAAACGCTAAATAATGAAAGTGTACTCATATTGTCAGAGTTTTAAACTGAGAAATTATCTGAAAGCTTGCGAGAGTAAAAGTATTAGCGTCGATGAATGACCTTAGAAATATTTTAAAATCCAATACAATGAAAGTGTACTTATAATATTGTCAAAGTTTTAAATTGACAAATTATGTGAAAGTCTGCGAGAGAGAAAGTATAAGTATTGATGATCTGAGAATGCCTTGCCTGGCCACGCCAAGCATTTGACTTTCAGGCCGCGGAAATCTAGGGAAATTTCTAAACAGTCTCAGTTTGTGGATGATACGCTGCTATTTAGCTTCTTCATTTCACCGCTAAAGTGCGGAGCAGTCACTTTACATGAATTGTCATTAGGATCTGAACGTCCGCATTGTTGAACACAGCATTTTAGCTGCGCATAGTTAGAAAGGACAGAATTTTACATTGTGTTACACAGTGTCGCCATTGCACTGTGCTGGAAAGCACCTCCATGTGGTGGCAGCACGTTTCGATTTCACATATTTTTGTACTTTCTTATACTTTTTTATAGGGATCTTCTATTTGTCTATGATAGATGTTAACGCACAGCCTGTCTCGAAGTCTGCAATCTTGGTGCGTTCTGTTCCCTATAAAAATTAATTTTCTCCGTGAAACGAGAAAACGTAATATAAACTCCTAAGTGGATTCACCTTAACGACGACCGACCATTGCTTTAACGATCCTCGCAGCAAGCGCGGTTCCAAAACAGAATTACATGTAAATCAAACAATACTGGCTCGGAGATACAAAGAATGGCAGGAGGACTGGATCTTAAGAGTGGGTGGAGAGGGAGAGGAGCAGAGTCTTTACACAGGGTTGTCTCTATGCAGCAGCTGGTAATTTTCACGTTATCAGTGAGATTACTAGGTTGGGGCTCGGAAGGATGTTAAATAAGATCTTAAAATACCCGTTCACTGAGTGGTAATCCTCGAGACACCTGGAGACGTAACATTCTAATTTCAGCACCCTGCCCATTGGAGTCTCGGTGAATTTCCAATTTTCTATTCGCGGTACTATACTGTAACGCGTTGCTTTGGTTAGTTTTCCTTTACGCTTGTTGTCCAGCCGCGCGGGTAAAAGCGTGGATTCCGGCTCGACCTATTTCTCTTCATAACGACTTTCGTTACCGTGGAAAAATAAGATTTTACATTATTATAAAATAATGGGTTTGTTTGTGCCGCGCCACGTGCACCTGAACACAATCGCGTTCTTGTGAAGTTCAGTCAGTTGGAATTTTTGCTGTCCCCTCCCACCGCCCTCCTTCTGTCAGATGGGTTCTGAGGTCAACAACGTCTTCCATTTTCTCCGCTACCGTTTTTCACGAATACATTCTTATTTGTTTTTCGGTCAAGCACGGCTTTATTTTTATGAAATGCGATTGTTTAGGACGAAACCAGGAAAGGTGCAGGAACCAAAAATAAGAGGTTAAGCAATAATGTTTTATTATTTCCTTTTCGTTAAACAAGAATTACAGTAATTAAAGGAGCGCGAGAGGGGAGGCAGAGAAAATGTCTGTTGTCAAGGCGAGAACTCGAAACTGAAATCGAACTGTTTTTCGACACGAACGGTCTCGGGTCCGTCTTAAACGCTTTATACACGATATGATCTGTCGTTCGACAACAAGTAGGTGCATCCACGAACACACATTCCCATTAACGAATTGTCTAAAACAACAACTATCGTCGGCTTCGCGGACGAAACAAGCCTTTCAGCCCTCGACTCGTAACAGGATAAACAAATAAAATAAAATATTCAGAGGTTATCTAAAATATGTTAAATAATAAGATACTGACTGAATTACAATCCTAAAGAATGCGAGATAGTGAACTATCAGTTAATAATATCATCCCCTAAGACTCTTGGAGAATTTAACGAAATCCTTGAATTCTCATATATTATTAGTAAACTGTCGATCTTCATGCATTTGTAGGAAATTTGAATATACAAGAACCTACAACATGCAAACAATATGCAAGAATATAAAAAACATTGAAAGTAAAGTTCATGTTATAATATTTGCAGAATAAAATAAATTCCTATTTAGGTTCAATTTTGTAGGCACGTTCGCGAAGATTTTATTATGCATAAAGATCGGCAGTCTAATTACTAGATATTTTTAAGAGATCATAATCTTAAGTGTTGATACCGTTTTACCTGCTTAATTAGGCTAATTAATATATTAAAATAGAAACCCAGTCAATTCGTCGTAGAACAAATATTCAATGATTGAGGTAACAAGTTTACCGTCTGAGCTTTAAACCATGCAATGTCTCTGCCACAAAAAGTAACATTAACTCAGCTGATCTTATGGTTTTAGCGACCGCATGCTCCATTAAAGAGGTTAAAGTAATTGCAGCTTAACGCAATGCTCATTAAAGTTAGCACACGTCGCAGACTAAACAGCGTGAATCAGATAAACGGTAAGGAAAAATTGTAGCCTGTTTCTTAATCAATCCCATCTCGACAACGCATTATTTACGATGACAGGAAACAAACTGGTTCAATTAACGTCCAGTTAATAAATATTCATGCGCCGAATCGAAGACGTTGATCTCTACGTATCGCGTGAAATTTTGCTTTCCGCAGGCGTGCACCGATTTTTATAAGAAATTTCCATCCGGGGCCATCTTTGAGAATGTTTAAAGTATTCTAGTTCGTTTGAATGAATAATTAATTTGTGTAATTAATTACGTTTCTGAAAAGTCGTGAGATCTTAAAATTATATGTTGGATATTTTGCTGTCATATTCGAAGCTTTTTAAAAAATGTAGATTTAATGTTGTATTATAGATTGAAAATCCGTATCAGATTCATTCAACTATATTATTATTCAAGAGACAATACATATCCTGTAAATTTGGTTGTTGCACTTCTTCGGTCTAACTTTGAAACTCTATGTTTTTTATTCAATTTATCATAGACAATTCTGTCTAACCTAATTTTTTTCATTGAAAAATAATATTAAATAAATGTTTCACTTCATTTGTAATGTTCTGCGTAATTTCGAAGTTATGTCGCAAAAACTAAAACTACTTTTGAATTCGTTTGCTCTTATTGAAATATACAGGCTGTAGCAGGACGGGTGGTACAACCCAACAGTGGGTGATACTACATGTAAAAATAAGTCGAAAAAAAGGAATAACATTTTTTCGTTTGACGCTTCGTTTTCGAGAAAATCGAGTTTGAAAATTCTATGCAGTACGCGTGGCACTGGACCGCCTGTAGGCTTAGATATGTATTATAAATAAGAAATGTTAATGTTTATTAATTTTATTGTCATTACTAACGATAATTACATAACATTATTGAATAAACTGTTCAAAGTGCTGTCCTTGTTGACGCGTACATATCATTACTCGCCTTATTAGTGAGTCATGAACTGACGCCAATGAATTTCGACATTTTATTTGATTAAAAGCATCTATTATTTTTTCCTTCAGTTGAAGAGAATTCTCACTTGTTTCCCCATACACGATCTGTTTAACGTGGCCCCACAAGTAGAAATCGAGTGGATTAAGGTCTGGTGACCTTGCCAATTTATTGTTCCGCCCTGGCCTATCCAACATTGATGTCGTTCATTTAAAAGTAGCCGTACATTTCATGAAAAGTGAGGTGGTGCTCCATCATGTTGAAAGATTAATTTCTGTACAATAGACAAAGGTATGTCTGTCAGTAATGACGGCAGTTCTTCACGTAAAAACTGCAAGTAAACTGCCCCATTCAGCTTATTTGGAAGGAAGTATGGTCCTATGATGTACGAGCCAATTATTCCTGCCCATACATTAATAGTCCATTTCCTTTGAAAGTGGTTTTCTTGAATTAGGTGCGGATTTGTAGATGACCACCAGTGTATATTGCGTCGATTAATTGCAAAATCTCGTGTAAAAGTTGACTCATCTGTCCAGAAAATGTACGATGTAAATTGATTATCGTTATCATGCTGTTGAAGCAGCCAGTCGCAGAAGCTTAATCGTGCGAAACGATCAGGTTGTTCGAGTGCTTGGACTCCGAGTATTGAATACGGATGCATTTTGTTATCGCGTAATATGCGACCAACAGTTCTGATACTGGTATTATGACGAGCACTAAGTTTTCGTATACTTATCTTAGGATTATTAGCAACGGTATTAAGAACTTCTGTTTCTAAATTTAGAGATCTCCTACTGCCACCAGACTTATGGTAATTGTGAAAAGAACCATGCTCAATTAATCTTTGTTCTGCCCTCTGTATCACTCTTCTGTCCGGAAGACGACGATTTGGAAATTGTTCTTTATAATATTCAGCTGCTGCTGTTGGATTTCCATGACAAACTCCTAAAGCTTTTATCATTTCGACGTATTCGCGGTTGCTGTAAGTAGACATTGTCACAACTTGACTGATCGAAACAGACTAAAAGTAGAAGAGAGTTGTATGGTTGAAGACAAAATGTAAACATTAGAAAGGTCAACATTACAACATGTAAGCAAAAGGAAACTTGTAGCGAACAATGGCTTGGGGAGACAGTCCAGTGCCACGCGTACTGCATAGAATTTTCAAACTCCATTTTCTCGAAAACGAAGCGTCAAACGAAAAAATGTTATTCCTGTTTTTCGACTTATTTTTACATGTAGTATCACCCCCTGTTGGGTTGTACTGTATTTAATTAAATTCAAGACAACTTGGTATGTAGAATTCCTTCATATAAAATATATTAAACAATTTTTGATATTCCAAATCAATCTGTATCCTTCATACAAAAACAATTTCAAAATACATACATATAATCGCCTTCATTGTCGGCAGCCTTTTGTCACCTAGTGTGCAAATTTTCAATGCCAGAAAAATCAATGAGCTGATAAATGATAAGCAAGTATTTAAGATGGCAAAAACGACATTACTTTCCAGTTCTATTTTTCCATGGCGATGGAAGAAATCTTCGTGTTCTATTTTAGCCGAAAGAATCAAAGTTTCTCATATGTATTGGCTCGTAACATTTAAACTATTGAACCAATTGGAAAATAATGTCAAAAGTTGTAATTGTTATAATTGTTGGAAATTCGATTACCTTTAAAATGGTGTCTTGCGTGACTCAATCAGACGTTTCTAACTCGAGATATGGTCTAAAATGTGTACGTATGTTAGAAAAAAATCGAAAAAAAATTCAAAAATTCATATAAAACGAACCTATCCATAGAAAAATTTTTTCTTGCGATTTTCGAGTTTAGTAGACCAAAATACATAAGAAAAAAATTGTGGCATTGAATGTACATTTTGGCTGTAAACTAGTGTAATTAAAGTAAAAGTAATACAATAAAGAAAATAATAAATTTAATACAAGTGCTCTCTACATTCTCTCATACTGATATCAAACGATACTTGTTAGTCTCTCAGATACCAACTACACTCACATACTACATCCTGTATAGTACTGCCCTTACCTACCATACATCAGTTCTAATTATTCTGACAGTACTTAAAAAATTCTTTGAAATAATACCTAAATTCCCATCTAAATGCACCAATGCGATGAAACATTTCAGTCTTCTTTCACTAATTACATTTTGAAAATCTTGGCAGCGTGGCCTAATCCCGTCGCCGTCTGCAGTGTTTCTGATAAACACGACCCAACATTCCGCCACGCGCAAATCCGCATTACTTTCTGCCGATATCCGGGTCTATGCGTCGTTCATTAACGACGTATCAGTTCTTAGTTTTGTAATTCCCCTAAGTTTTATTATGCCATAAAATCGTCGCTTCGTGCACCGCCGCCGAGGCTTTAAAACAGAAAGAGACTTTCCAAAGGGAGTGCAATCTAGATTTTAATGGCCATGATGCCCCTGTTGTTTTGAGTTCGTCTCGTCATTAATTTCGCGAGCTCTTTCAGGGCTGCGAGCTGGCAACACTCCAAGAAACCTTCCCTAAAACAAAAGGAAAAAGGTGGGGGAGACGGAGAAAAAAACCGACAGATCTATTTGGTGAATTTTATGACCGACTTTATGGACCTTTCTCGAGGTACTCTGACGCTTATTGTAACCCATTGATGGCGAGGTAATCGAAATTGTAATCAAATTCCCTGCACTTCGTGGGACTCTTAGAGCAGAAGAATTAATTCACAGTTTTCGATTTGATCAATGATATTATTGAGGAGGGAAACTGTGAGAGTTGGTTTTGGAATGATGGAGAGCAAGGAAGGTTGGTAGTGTGTAAGCGAAAGAGGTTAGAGTGAATTAAGGTGAAAAGTATGTGCGTGGCATCAATGACGGTTTAATATACTAATTACTTATTAAATATATTAATCATGAAAAAGTGTTGAAATTTGTTACACCTTCCCACAGAAATCACCTAGGACGGTCCGGAAAAAGGAACATATTTGTGAATTTTTTAGCAACAAACGGAAAATTGTCTGGTAATAAGTTTCAGGGTATTCGAAAGAACTTGATGCATATGTCGCAATTTTTGTATTTGAAAATATCTTAAATTAACAATGTTATCGCGTTGTCATTTTTTAGATAAGTACTCTGCGGTGACTACGTTACCTCAAAGCTAGGTAAATCGAAATACTAAATGCAAGCATTCTTGAGTAACATATTAAATTTTCTAAGTGCTTTATATATACAGACAGTGTAAGAAGTATTCATATAGCAACACGGTTTTTAAAAGTATAACAACCCTCTTCTATCGTTGACGCTGTGGTACGATTATTTTCTGATAATGTTATATGGATACAGACAAAAATATTTTATGGATGAATTTTTTCAAGTAAGCCCTTTACCGAAAACAAACTTCTGTAAAGATTTATCAAAATGAATTCGTTTGCTTGCATATTAATTTGAGGATTATTACTTTTTTTAAACGTGAAACAAAGAAATACGTTATTTGAAATTGCTATTATTTTAAATGAATTAATATTAACTGTTTTGAAAATAGCATCCTAAAATTCCAAAATTAATACCATTTTTATTTTCATTTATTATAACAGTATTGGAAATAACGGTCCGAATACATTATTTCAAAAAGTAATTTCTAATTTTCATTTTAACTAAAACATGTCGACGTCTTTAATGGTGCGCTAATTTTTCAACTTAGGTGTGGATTCGTCACAACTGTCCTCCGTTATTCAATGTCATAGCGTCAATTTCCGTGAATTGCTATACTTTTGGTGTAACTTTTCCCTTCTGTCGGGGTCCACATAATCCTTCCCACAGCCGTAAGACAAATAGCATTAACCCTCTTTCGGTCTTTCGTGTTTGCCGAAAAGCGCGGCAAGTTTGATGTGAAGTTTCTATAGATTTGTGGGGTGAGGTGGCGGATTAATTGCGAGTCAATTACTAACAAAAAGATGGAACTTTATTTCGGCAGACGCGTATCCCGCGGTCTGCCCTTGTCGAGATCCTGTACAGAACTAACTTACGAACTAGCCATTCGTTCTCCCCAGGATAGCCACGAAAATCTTTCTCACTTAATTCACGCATCTCTTTCACTCTGTTTAAACAAATGCATTCACCCTTAGTAAAATTCGAACCAACCGAAGAAACATTCTCACGACATTCGAACCTATAACTTAAACAGTCACTCATCACAGTCATTCATCACAGTCGCGCAGCACGCACCTCGGTTCATCCGTCCAGACATACCACTTACAAAATCTTAACACAAGGAAGACGATGTGGCGCCAGCTCATCGTCGCCACAGATTTGTTACGGGACAAAAAGTGACGTGTTTCAAAGCACCCTTCGTGCGTAGCCGAGAATTCCGCTACATACTTTCTTAGGCGCCCCAGAGAGTGGTTTCTTTCGGCCCCCCTTTGCATTTTTCATTCGCTCGCGAGTCGTTTTTCCAACCGCTTCATCCGTTCCGCTTTACGCCCCTGCCTTCCTCTTAACTTCGAATGAGGGCTGTTTGCATTGATTGTGTCAAAATAGTACAATTACATTATAATACATGAAAATCAAACAAACAAGTCAAAATTACTTGATAAAAAGGGCTTTCTTTTGGCAGTGAAAGTAAGTAAAACGGGGTATCTTCGTTAATTACATGTTTTCATTATGGACGATTCGATCATTCAACAATGTAAGAGGCCGCCGACCATCAAACGGGCCGCAATTGTTTGAACAACTTGCGTCACTTTTCGAGATCGGTCGCGTCGACAGAGTTTCGACTTTTATGTACTTTTTTACGTTTTAAGTGTTTTTATGTTGTGTGCCAAGTACTTTAGTTTAAATAATAATATACTATAATAGTTAATCTTATGTGCAATTTGTTTGAATCCTATCTCACGGCTGCTTCCTTTCCCTGACTCCTTACAACTATTCGTTCTCTTTGGTGTACAGTTCCAAAAATAATATTGACCCTACAAAATATCTAAGGTGTCCACGTGTACTTTCTGCTCTGAGAGAGGACCTGGAGAGGCTGACTGTTGTGACTGTTGGTTGAAGCGAAGAACACCTCGTGAAGATAAAGGTACCAAGAAAACAAATAACCGTTATGGGGAAGCTGAAGCTAATGCCTGCTTCGCCAATTAACTCCCGTCATCTTACAAGATATGGTCGTACGAAGTTGCCTCATAGACAATGGCGCGATCTGTTCACTTGTCAAGGAGTAGGTGGCTAAACGCGCTCATTGTAAAATCGACCACTGCACGACGCCACGCGTAGTGATCGATCAATTGATAGAGTTGGCAGCGCCAACCGCTTTTGTTTGTAACGCCGGGCCTCACCGCTTCCGTTGCGCGGCTCGGTCACTTCGTTTTCGATAACGATCGGTTCAGCACGTGAGCTCCACCAACCAGTATTCTTTACATTGAGTTAGTCCGCGAGTGAATTCGATAGTTAAATTCAAGGTCCCAGCGGCGCAATACCGCATCGCGAGATAATACGCCGTTTTTCGCATTCACATTGATTCGGACGGAGTGAACGCGAGTTGTACGTCGCGATTCGTGCGTGATCGCGACCGGGAAAACGTGGCGTCGCGTTGCGGTAATTTACCCACGCATCACTACTTCGTGTTTCCTCCTTTTCTCGAATCTCACAGAGATTCCGTTAGGCTGATCGCACACGGGCGTAATCGATCAGTTTCAAACCACTCTGAAACTACATTACTCCCTACAATTAGCAGGACACTTTTTCAAACCGTCGTAACTATGGGAGTTTTCAACCGATTGAAATGAAACTGCGTTAGGAGTACTTTTGAAGTGTCCCCTACGCGTGTGTAAAGTTGCATTGCCGAGGGTTGACGCGAAGGCGTTAATTCACCCCCCCCCCTAAGGGGAGGGTGTACAAAAACGCCTCTTTGACACAGGCTAGGGATGACGGAAGAGGTTGAAAAATTCAAGAAACCATTTGAGGCGACTCTCCTTGATGCCCTCTACAAAATGCACCCCTTGAAATCCCTCTCGGATAAACCCACCCTCCACAACCTCCCACCACCTCTAAAATCCACAATTTTTGGACGACGGTCTCGATTTTGGGCTCAATCCATTCTCTGGACCCCTCTGAT